CGGGGCAGCGAGCGGAACCGGCAGGTGCGGGGCAGCCCGCGGCGGCGGCGGGATATAGCCGAGCCCCGGGGCGGGGGCTGACACCTGAGCCGCGGGCTCCTCCCTAGCCCCTGCCGCCTCCAGCCCTCGGCCCAGCCCGGCTCCGGGTCAGGTCCCCGGCGCCGACGACAAGGGCTGAGGCGTGTGCACGCGCCGCCCGGCTGCCTGACGGGCGCTCGGCTCTGGGAATTGCCTCCGCCGCCGCTTCCCGCCGAAGTGCGGCGGGACACGCTGTCCTCCAGGGTCAGGGGCTGGCAGGGCTCCCCGCTCCCGCCCTCCCCTCCAGCCCTGGGAGTTTCCCCAAGCTCTTTTGCCCAGAGTGGGTGCGCACGTCCAAATACCGGGACTGGCTGGAAGAAGCTGTTCCGTACTGAGTGTACCCGGATCCCTTCTGTCTCGCTTTTGTCTGGAGAGGTTGAGAAATGACTCTAGTAGCTTACTAGAAAAGTTTCACAACAATACGAACGGGGTTTGGTTGTAGCCGTGTTGCTCTAAGGACATAGGCAGTGGCTCGTGCACCCCCTGAGAGCACCGGTGCACCCCTGACAGCACCCCTGACAGCCACCGCTCCTGGGCACGGCAGGGCAAGCGAGGGTGCTGGTGCCCCCTTGAGAGCGCTGGCACCAGGAGAAGCAGTCCCCCCCCCCCACGGCCTATTGCGCTCACCCACAAGTGCCAGCAGTGGACCGCTGCCGCTTACGGGTTGGGGGGGATAAGCCGCCCCCATCCAAGTTGCTGACTGTCCACTGAGGGTGCAACTGCCCCCCCCATGACTCAGGAGGCACCAGTTACCCAAGGACATAGGCAGACAAGGTTCTTTGGGTGAATCTGATCTCTTTTATTTGACCAACTTAAATAGTTGGGGGGAAAAAAATTTTCAGCAAGCTTTCAGGTTTCAAAACCCTTTGTCAGGCTGAGGAGGCCTCTGCAGTTGGTGTGCGCTTCATGAGCAGCTATCAAAACTATAAATAAAAGAAAACCCATGACTTAATAAATGAATAACTGTATCTCCTATTCAATACAGAATTATAACTGAAATCAGATTACCATACTGCTTGCTATGACTCATCCTTAGACTTACCAAGTAAACCTTTACAACAACAAATCCATTAAGAGTTTCACCTTGAAATACAGCTAAGTTAATTATTTGCCAAAATAGTTTATCTAATAAAACTTAACTGCTTCTTAATGTCCCTGGAATGAACAGAAAAACAGATCACATTGTGGTCTTCTTGAGTTTGTTGTTATTTTACCTATTATGGAATGTGAAGATTGATCTGATTATTTAACATTTGTTATCTGAACAGTTGTTTATGGTTAATATGCTTTTTGAATAGAGGTGCAAGTATTCCAAATTGAACATTTAGTATGAGCAAAATAATGGCCTAAATGGCATTCTATTGTCTCAGGCCTTTGGCAGAGCAGTGTTTATCCTGCTTTCTACCCTCAGATACTCTGGAAGATAGGATTTTGGATTAGGTTTCAAAATGCCCATGATAAATTGCAGAAACAGTCTGAAATAAATTGAAAGAAATTGAATAAAGACAAGTGCAAAGTACTGCATTTAGGATGGAATAATCAAATGAATAAGTACAAATTGGGAAATGACTGACTAGGCCGCAGTATTGCAGAATATCTAAAGATTATAGTGAATATGAGTCAACAGTGTGCTATTGTTGCAAAAAAGTCAATAGCATACTGGATTACATTGAAATGAGTACAGAATGCAGGAAGCCAGTACTGGTGAAACTTTACCTGGAGTTCAGTTTTGGGCACTGCTCTTTAAGAAAGATATGCAAGCATTGGAAAGAGACCAGAAGAAATTGACAAAAATAATCAGAGGTCTGGAAAACATGGCAAAGAAGAAATGGTTAGAAGAACCAGGATTATTTAGTCTGGAGCAGAGAAGACATGGGGAAATGTGATAACAATCATCAAATACAGAATGGGTTGTTATAAAGAAGATAGCAATCAACTATTCTCTATGTCTACAAGGGAATATGACAAGTAGGGATTGTTTTAAATTGGAACAAGAGAAAGTTAGCTTGGATATTAGAATATTTTTAAATGAGACTGGTTAAGTACTCATTACCTAGTGAGAGTGTGGCATCTCCATCATTAGAATTTTTCAAAATGCAGGATGACCAAATAGCTGTCCGGGATGGTTAAGACACAGATGTTCCCACATTGAGCAGAGGGCTAGACTGTATCACCTCCTGCAATTTTTCCAGCCCTATTTTAATATAAGTCAAAGGAAGGTCAATCAAACATTCTCTCTTTTTTTTTTATCATGATTTTTTTACTAAAAAAAATTGCCATAATTTTTGCTGAAGAAATATTTTAATCTACTCCATTTTTAAATCAATCCTTTTTCCTCACTTTTTGGGGGTTCCTCTACCTAAACAATCCGAAAACACACAAGTTGCATTTTTATATACTCATTCAGATTCTTTCTTACACACAAACTACTTTTAGAGTTTAACAGTAAAATACATTAAGACTTATTTCCATTATTCAGGGTAATGGTTCTGAGCTAAGCAAAGAATAGCTCTCTAGCCATGCTCTTCAGAAATTCTTCACAATTCAGTCAGGCCAGAATATGGAATTGCACACTGCAGTAAAATGATAGGCTTTGGGAACCTTCGAGGGGATGCGTGGACTGACAATGAGCAAGACTATTCAAAGCTATGCCACCTTGAAAGATTTCGTCACCCTGGGAGCCATCAGCTGAGTAAAGCACAGTACAGGTGGGACATGCCTTTAGTACAGCTGTTAGTTCTGTCTGCTTTTGGCCCTTTTTCTCAAGCACCACAATGGGACCCAGAGAGCACTATCTGTTGTATTAGATGGAGAATAAAAATCAAAAGAGATGACTTTTGTAATGTTCCTTGCAGTTTTTCTCTTGTTCTGACTTTAAGTATAGTTGTTATTTTTTTTTCCTCCTGCAAGAGCAAATACTTCTAATCATCTTGGCAAGCGATTCAGACCAGGTGACACCAGAAGCACAAAGTAACTTTTGAACTTTATTCTCACTAAGCATGTCTCAGAGCCATGGATATTAATGTCAACAGATGAGGAAAAACACAGCTTTTCAACATTATGTTGTATTACTAAAATGGTTTGCACAATTCTAGTAATATTGACAAATAAATACATCAAAGAGTCAGGATTAATTGCTCAAAGCTTTGTTGCTTTCTCCATGCATACGTCCCATGCAACTCTCTTGTACTGGATCAGGGATCCAGGTTTTCCACTTGACATGAAGAAACATGATAAAACCTGGATTTTCTCATTTTAAGAAGAAAACCCGAGATTTTCTCCTTTAAAGGAGAAAAACAGGGAAACAATGAGTTTCCCTTTGCAGGCTGGCAGAGTGCCAGCCTAACAAGGGCTGGGGGAGTGGGAGAAGGGCAATCAGCAGGGGGTACCATGTGCATGTGCACATACATATGGCCGCCAGGCAGCCTGGAGAGCAGCTCCCGCAGGTAAGTCTGGCAGTGGGAGGAAAGAGGGATGGGGATTGAGGCCCCCATACGGAGGGAGGGAAGGAGTTGGGCAGGGCTGGAGCTGTTGCCCAGCCAGGGTGGTGTGTGGTGCTTGGGGCCCAAGGCCAGAATGTACAGCCACAGGGCCCCGATGGGGAGTGTGATGGAGCCACAGGGGCTCATCCACGGGGGCAGAGGAGGGAGAGCTGACTCCTTGCCACTGTGCGCCCTCTCAGAGGGACATGGGGGGCATGTGCCCCCCACATTTGTGGGCGGGGCAGGGATGGGAGCAGGCTGCCCACTGTAGGCTCAGGCTCCATGCTCTGCAGCTCTCCTCCTGGGGCCTCTGAAACCCAATGGGTGTTGAGGGAGCTAGCTGGGGTTATTGCGGGGCCCCTGGCACAGCTCTATGAGCGATCGTGGTGCTTGGGCCAGGTGCCAGATGATTGGAAGGTAGCAAATGTGGTCCCCATCTTCAAGAAGGGGAAGAGGGAGGACCCGGGTAACTATAGGCCCGTCAGTCTTACCTCAATCCTGGGGAAACTCTTTGAGAAGATCATC